TGAAGTTTGAAAAGCTTTTTGGGTTATCCTAGTTCTAGATTCTTTAGCCATGTTTACCTGAGCCTTTATGGGTGGTAAAAAGCAGACACCGCCCTCCCCCCCGCCCCCCAAGATCTTGGGAAAAGGAAAAGGTCAGTACTGACAAAGTTTGGTAACAGAGAGGAACGTAACCATTGAAAACTCCTATCTTCAAAGCATGGGCTGTGGAGCCAGACTGCCTGGCTTGAATCACGTTTAGCTGTGTGGCCTTGGACAAATTATGTCACCTCTGTGTACCTCAGTTTCCTCATCTGTAAAATAGGAATAATGTATACTTTTGCAAGAGATTGTTGTGGGGATGAAATGAAGTTAATCTGTGTAAAGTGCTTAGAAAAGTCCTTGTTCAGTTAGTAAGTGTATAGGAATGTTTGCTCACATTTGTTTATTTTTGGTTCTTTCTTCACAGTAGTCGTGTGAAGCCCGTGGAATATAGTCAGATGTACAGTTACAGCTACAACCAGTATTACCAGCAGTACCAGAACTACTATGCTCAGTGGGGCTATGACCAGAATACAGGCAGCTACAGCTACAGTTACCCCCAGTATGGCTATACCCAGAGCACCATGCAGGTAACCAGGAGTTGGCAAGTCTGCTCTCGGGTTTTGTCATCCTTTAGAGACATGGGTCATTCTCCAGGGTGGGATTGATAAGGACGGGGGCTTGGGCTTCAGAAAAAAAAATGGGGAAAGATGGAGCAACCTAGTTGCTCTTGTTAAAAATAAGCCATCCTTGTTATGGGCCAGGATCCTTCTCACCCAATCTCTCTGTCTCTTGACAGACATATGAAGAAGTTGGAGATGATGCTTTGGAAGGTAAGAAAGGAGCCCATCACTCATTCCCTCTGTCAGCCATAATGCAGTGATTGCTTTGTGGCTGGCACTGTGCCTTCAGCTGGATGCTAAAGGAATGCATGGTGAATTCTGCCTAGAGGAACTTACATTCTAATGAGAGAGCCAGTGTATACATAATTCCAGTAAGAAGTGTGTGTGTCAGCCTAGGCCAGGTAACTAAGTTGGTTAGATCACCGTCTTGATATGCCAAATTTGCAGGTTCAATCCCTGGTCAGGGCACATACAAGAATCAATGAGTGGCCCTGGCCAGTGTGGTTCAGTTGGTTGGGCGTTGTCCCATGCACCAAAAGGTTGCTGGTTTGATTCCTGGTGGGAGGCATGGAGGAGGCAGCTGATCAATGCTTCACTCTCCCATCGATGTTTCTCTCTCTCCTTCTTCCTTCCTCTTCTAAAAATTGCTTTAAAAAAATTTTTTAATCAACCAATAATAAATAATTAAAATCAGAAGCAAAACTTAAAAAAAAAGTCACTGATTGCAGATGTTAATCACATCTACAAAATACCATCACAGCAACATTAACTGGTGGTTGACCAAACAATTGGGCATCTTAGCCTAGCCAAGTTTACACATAAAATTCAACTATCACACTATTAATAAATACAAATTAGAATATACCATGTTTCTATAAAAGTTAGTTCTTACTATGTTTATATGCTTTGAATCAGTAATTTTACTAGAAAGATTTTATCCCCAATGATAATCATCAGTACAGATAAATATCCAATACATGATATGTTAAATAAAATGTATGTTTTAGATATATAATTCAATTTTGATATATTGCAAAATTATCACTGCACTAAATCTAGTTAAGTCACCTTATAGAGGGTGGGGCAAATACAGGCTTACGGTTGTTCATATGGAAAATAATACAATAGTTAATAAATAATAATACAAGCCCTGGCCAGTTGGTTGGGGGTCGTCCTGTGGGTTGCAGGTTTGATTCCAGGTAAGGGCACATGCCCAGGTTGTGGGCTCGATCCCCAGTGGGGGGGCCTGCAGGAGGCAGCCAATCGATGTTTCTCTCCCTTCCTCTCTCTAAATATCAATACACTATTCTTTCAAAAAATAATATAAAAAATACAACACAAAAAATAATAAACTTTTGCATACTCACAACTGTAAACCTACTTTGCCCCAGCCTATATAATTCTAGTTAATCCAGCACCATTTGTTGAAAAACTGTTCTTTACCCTTTGAATTGTCTTTGGTACACTTGTTGAAAAGCAGTTTTCTATAAATGTATAGGTTTAGTTTGGGGCTCTTAACCCTAGTCAATTGATCTATATGTCTATCCTTAAACCACTGCTGGTCTTTCTTACTGTAGCTTTTCAGTAAGTTTTGAAATGGGGAAGCGTGAGTCCTTGAACTTTGTTCTTTTTAAAGATTGTTTTGGCTAGTCTGGATTCCTTGCATTTCCATAAAAATTTTATGATCAGCTTGTCATTTTCTGCAAAACAAAACAAAAAAACAGCTGCAGCTATAGACCAATTTGGAGAACTTTTCCATCTTTACAAAATCATCTTTCAATCCAAGTACATGGGATGTCTTTCTGTTTATTAGGTATTCTTTAATTTCCAGTTTGTTTTTAAACGTGTTTAAATCAATGTGTGTGTGCATTTTAAACCAACACAGACCAAAAATATAAAATGTCATCAGTCAAAGTAATTATTATTTAGAACTTTTATTGTGAAAGGTAACACATACATGGAAAAGTACATAAAGCAGCCCTGTCCGGTGTGGCTCATTTGGTTGAGCATCCTCCTGTGCACCAGAAGGTTGCTGGTTCAATTCTTGGTCAGGACACATGCCCAGGTTTTGGGTTTGGTTCCCTGTCAGGGTGCCTTGTACAGGAGGCAACCAATCAATGTTTCTCTCTCCCTCTCCCTTCCTCTCTAAAACCAATAAAAACATAGTTAAAAAAAGAAAAGTATGTAAAGCAAATGTATAGTTTAACATGTAATTATAAAGCAGTTGCCCATGAGACTTGAATTCCAGTTAAGTAGAATATTACCAGCCTCCAGAAGCCATCCTTCCCCCAATCACAGCCCACAGCTTCTTGTGGTAACCATTTCCTTCCTTCTCTATAGTTTTATCACCTAGGTATGTAGCCCTAAACAATATGGTTTATTTTTGCCTTTTTGGCCTTTGTATAATGCAGTCATACTGAATGTACTACTGTCTTCTTTCATTCAATACTCATGCAAGTTTAGACTCAAGTTGTGTGCAGCCAAGGTTCTTTGTATGTGTGTGTTTTACTGATTTTTGAAAAATTGATGTGAGAAACATCGATTGGTTGCCTCCCGTATGCACTGATACGCACCCTGACTGGGGATCGAACACACAACCTGGGTAGGTACTCTAACTGGAAATCTAACTGGCAACCTTTCAATGCATAAGACAATACTCAACTGAGCCACACTGGCCAGGGCAAGGTTCATTTTCAATGGTATATAATATTCATTCTAAGACTAGTGCTTTGGACTTAGTAAATTTGGATCAATTTCCAAGCTCAAAATTCAAATAACCACACCAGAAAATTCAGACACATGATAGCTAAATATAGGTGTTGCTTTAATAAATGTGGACTATTATTTGAGGACTAACTACACCTTACATTATCCTATTTTCATCCTCACAGGAACCCTGCAAGGCAATTGTATCAGTCCAAGTGAGGAGGGAACTCTGGCACAGATAGGGAACTTGCCCTAGGAAACAGAGGTCCTGGGAACAGGGAACTGAACCCAAGTCTCATGGTCTTGTGGCTCCCGAGTACTTTCTCCCCTTGGTGCTCCCTAAATACATGCTTGGTTCTGTTCCAGACCCCATGCCACAGCTGGATGTGACCGAGGCCAACAAGGAGTTCATGGAGCAGAGTGAGGAGCTGTATGATGCACTGATGGATTGTCACTGGCAGCCCCTGGACACAGTGTCTTCAGAGATCCCTGCTGTGATGTAGCCAAGACAAAGAACAAGCCAGAATGGAGGACTATGTGAGGGAGAAAAGACTTCTTTAAAAACAACTCAAGAACTTTCACCTTTTGGGAAATGTTTTATACGATTTTAATAATCAACTTTCATGAGATTATGAATAATACTGCAACACTGCTGCCTTTATTTGATATAGCCATTTGAGTTTGAAAACCAAGGGACCAACTTGAAGAGGGTTGAACAAGGTTCCCATCTGTCTTCGAACAATAATCATTTATCCAGTAGTTATCTGTACTCCAGGAGGTAACAATTTGGATTTTTTATGGTTTTAAAAATCTAGAGCAAAGGGGAGAGGGAGAAACGTTGGTTACCTCCTGTTGACACCTTGATCTGGACTGAAGCCATAACCTGGGCATGTGCCCTAACTGGGAATTGAACCTGTACCATGGGAGGACGCTCAACCAAGCCAGACAGGCCAAGGCTGGAATTACTATATTAATCAGTTTAGCCAGGGACCCTTCTCAAGTAACACCTAAGTCCTTAGATTCTCTGGGATCAGAGTATATGGATCACCTATATATTAAATGAGCAATTTTTGCCTGCCATTTAAGTACTCCCAACATTGGCTTCAAATGTGGCCACTAGTAAAACTTTCAGCAGGAGCCGGGGTGCCTGCCTAGTCCAGGGTATAAGAGGAAGTAATCAGAGTCAGCTAAAATGCATCAGACCTTCCATACACTATCCAAACAAATCAGGAAAGCCCATTTTCCAACTTATATTGTCATGTGGTACCCAGGACCCTCTTCCTGAGAAGTCTGGGTCTATGCTAGAAATCTGCTTCAGATTTTAGTTTTGTGCCAGAGTAATTTGGGGGGTGGCAAAGGGGAGAAACTTCCAAGTTAAAGTGCCTATACCACAAAAAGCCTTCAAAGGTCCAATCTTAGGCTCAGCAAAGGAGAAACTACATCTAATTGCAATTATGGAACTGATCATATTGGCCTTTCTGAGAGGTCAGACTTTTTTACATGAGACAGACTATGAATTAATTTGGGTCTCTAATATTTAGATTTATATACCAGCATTCAAAAAAAAACATGACATGTCACAGTTTCCACCTAAATTAACCTGTTACGAAAATTTCCTAGGGCTGAGCCCAAAGAAAGAAGCTGACAACTTCATTACATCAAGAATTTATTAAGGGAATGTAGCACACAAGACAATTCATTCTGCAGGGCAGGATGGATAAGGAACCAGCCCCACAATGAGGGGTGGGCAAAGGCCTAGTTCAAGAACCAGCAGGCCTTGGAGCGTGGAGAAGCTGAGATTTTCGTTACTTAAGTAGAACAGTCCATCTCCTTCACAAACTTGTCTTTTAGCTTGCCTCTTGCTGTAGAGCTCTCCTGTAAAGGAAGTGTAAGCCAGTGTGTTAGTACTACCCCAATTAATAAATGCCACCCAAGCACTTTCCTAAGAGCTGGTCTCAGTCCCATATCCGCATTTATCATCCACAGATGTCCACTCAGATTAGGTTTCATCCCAGACCAGTCACCCTAAAAAAAAAAAAAAAAATCCCCAACTAGATGGCATGACTTGTTTCTACCAAATCTACCTTCCACTCTCCCTGGGGGAAGGGGATAAGACTGTGGTTTGAGGTTACCCCAAATGAGAATTTCACAGCAATCAGTTCTTGCCGCTCAAAGTTCAGGGCAGGTAGCTATTCAACTTACCCAATTCTGTAGATCCTGAATTACAAATGAAGACAGTTTACTGGTAAAAGATCTAAAAGAAAAAGAAAAGTCACTTAAAAGCTGTTCCAAAGACAGAAATATTAGTCAGCAATCATTACACCAACTGCCCAGATTCACATCCATCCATCCTCCCTTTATCTCATTTTACAGGAAAGGACGAAACAAGTTCAAAGTGAATTCAACCTTGTTTGAAACTAGCCCACAGACTGTAAGCACTCTGAGGCCAGCTTCACTATTACTTTTCCTCCTCTGCGACCACCAAGATCGGTGTTCAGATCCGATGGGAAAGGGAACTGGAGGGTCGGGTTGTTTTCAACATCTAACTTTACCTTATTCTAAAACAGGGCAGCAACAAGCCGGTATCTCAGCTACATCATTATCAGACACTGCCAGGAAACATGGAGGCAACCTACAGGAGAAAAGGGTGAAAGCTCTAAACCAAAAAGTTGATTCATGGGCCCAGGTGGAAGGCTCCCAAGCCCAGGTCCTGAGATATAGGAAAGGCGAGTGGCAGCTGCAGGTACTATGCTGACCTGAGCTGTCAAAGTCTCTCCAGGTTGCTCTCGCATGCAGTTGGAGAGCCCATGGCTACACCAGCCACAGCCCTTGGGAACATGCTGCACTGACCCACCCAGCAGCTCTCAAGTCTCCACAAGAAACCTACCAGGTCCTGCGGTGCCCTCACTGGCATGACTCCAGAGTGCTCACCCAGCAGAATCAACTCGAACCATCCTGCAATCTTCATCTGGCACCGCTAAGATGAGAACAGAAATTGTCCTGAATGATCCTTCTTGAGTCTTCAAAACCATAGAGGTTTAACTGGCCTTTGATCCTGGTACTAACGCCTTAAACTTTTGAGGGCAATGACCTAAAGCATGGCCACGATCTGTGCTGCTGGCCACTGGATTTCCCCATATTGATGTCTAAGCCACCTCCCCCCCCAATACTATCTTGGTTGGCCTCAACAAGCTACTTCTTAAAAGCCTTATTCTGTTAATTCTATATGCAAGTCCCTATCACAGGGATATTCAACCTTTCCATCTCATGGCACAGACTAAACGACCATCTAGAAAAACAGATCAGTGCCCTGACTAGTCAGGTGTTGCATCGTTTTAAAAATTCTTGCCACCGGTTGGAAATCGCCGCACTATCAACATTTCTGCGGGCCTCTGAAACATGGCAGCTTTCATAAAGGTCCGTTTATGTGAGACGGCAGATACCATGAGAATTGTCTTTTCCTGAAATGTTGCAGATCGGTTACAGCAAACAGAACGGCGACCGTCAAGGAAAACTGTCACTCTGGGCTCCTTTTTGACCGCAGCAGCTACGTGGAAGCAGCTGCAGCTTCGATAAGGGCCACTGTGCCGCGCGGGGCAACCCCAGCCGCTCTCGGCCCTGAGCCACCTAATCCTGTGCATCGTTACTGCCTACGGACACGCATCGTCCTGGAGGCCAAACAGCACCCTTGCAGGTCCCAGTTACCACTCAGCACGTGAATGACTGACCCGCCCTCCGCAACGTGGTGCAGCCATGGAATTACGGTGCAGTCCCTCCCCCAAGGTCACCCGGCAGATTCAGGTTCGATTCAGTCTGGCTGACACCACGCGGCCTCCCCCAAATTAAACACTTCAGGCTCAGGACTGCCGTGCCCCGGCCGCCTGCCCGCGCTCCTTACCCGTCAACCGGAGCGCAGAGCCGCGGACTCACGGGCCTCAGCCCCTCTCCCTGCGCAGGCGGCCTCCGTGCCCGAAGGCCCGCGGCCCAGCAGGCGGGGAGGCCGGCTGCTCCAGTCCGCACTTCGCATCCTGCAGCCTCGGGAGCAGCGCAGGTGAGTGCGGGGCCGATGGCGACGAAGCCAAGAGCGAGGCGTGGGGGAGTGGAGGACGGCGCGGACGGCAGCCGGGGAGGCCCCACCACACAAGTCACCAGGCGCGCGGCGCTGGGAGAAAGGACGGCGGGGCGCCCGGCGCGAGTATATATGGGCCCCGCCTCTCGCGGCTGCGCCTGACGATTGGACAGCGCCCCGCGCAGACCGCTGGGAGTTATAGTCCGACGGCTTCCGGCGCGGGGCGGCGCGGGGCGGCGCGGGGCGGCGGGGGCGGCGGGGGGCGGGGCGGCGGCTCCCAGTGGGAGGAGCGTGAGGATGGGAGACCTTTCCGCGGGGGATGGAGGAACCGGTAAATGGTTGGTTCAGGGCCCGAGGAGGCTCTTTCGCGTAGTTGAACGCTCGCTGGACGCCGTGCACCGGGCCCTGGGCCTACAAGTGAATCAAACTCCCCGTGCCCTCGAGTTCAGTCTGGGAAGATCTTCAAAGCTGGGAGAGGACGGTTCCGCTAGGGCCCACCGGGCATCAGGAGGAGCAGCGACCCAGTGGGTTGCGGGCAGGGGCTCTGTGAGGTCTTGGAGAGGAGTCTTGGGAGGGGGCGTCTTAACAAGAGGTGATAGAGCCCTGGCTTGTTTGTTTCAGTGGGTAGAGCGTTGGCCTATGGACGGAAGGGTCCTGGGTCCCATTCTGGTGGAGGGCGCATGCCTGGAATGGGGGCTCGGTCTCCAGTAGGGGGCGTGCAGGAGGCAGCCGATCAATGTTATCTCCCATCTATGTCTCTCCCTTTCCCTTCCTCTCTGAAATCAATAAAAATATTTTTTAAAAAAGAAGAGGCAATTGATTGCTCATATGATAAATGCATTATTTGTTCAAGGCTTGTCTCTTCAAGGCTAAGCCTATATAATAAAAGCCTAATATGCAAATTGTCCCCTCAACTGGAGTTTGGTTGCTTGCTATGACGTGTGCTGACCTCCAGGGGGCGGCACAGACCATGGCAGGCGTTGCTGATGCAGCACTGGCAGTGGGCGGCAGTCAAGGTGCCTCTGGCCCCATAGGTATGGCCACTGCCCGTGCACCTGGCAGCCTGCCCACGCTACTTACCTGTCACACCAGAGCGCAGAGCTGCAAGGACTCAGGCGGGAGAAGGGCACATCTCTCACAGGCCTCGTCTCCTCTTCCTGGGCATGCAGCCTACGTGCCCTTAATGACCTCGGACCAGCAGGCGGGGAGGCTTCCATGTCTGGATTGGATCTATTTTGTTCACCACTTTATTGTGTTCATTACATTCCACATATGAGTGAGATCATATGATACTTGTCTTTCTCTGAATGGCTTATTTTGCTTAGCATAATACTCTCCAGGTCTCTCCATGCTCTCTGAAAAGGTGAGAGATCCTTTTTTACAGCTGCATAGTATTCCATAGTGTAAATGTACCACAGCTTTCATGTTTCTCATCAATATCTCTCCTTCTCCCCTCCTCTCTCTCTCAAATCAATTTAAAATAAATAAGTAAATAAATAAATAAATAAAATCAATTTTAAAAAATACATTAACCCCTAGAGTGCCGGGGAGTGCAATCGCACTCCTCCTGTCTTTCGCCAAAAGTGCCGGGAGCGCTATCGCGCTCCTGCAGTGTCACTATTAGATGCTAGTAGTTCACTCTTTATTGACAGATGGCACGTAAGTGCAGAAAACAAATGTAGTAAAGGTTTCCTTAAGTTTTTGAATATGTAACTTCATTTACTTGCAATTCATAATTTTTTTCCTAAACTGCTATAAAATCAGCAAAAATGCCTTGGCAATTTTAGCATAGTTCCTAGGATATTGGTTGGCACTCAAAGGGTTAAAGCCCTAGCTGGTTTGGCTCAGTGGATAGAGCATCGGCTTGGGGACTGAAGGGTCCCAGGTCTCGATTCCGGTCAAGGGCACATGCCCAGGTTGTGGGCTCGGTCCCCAGTGTGGAGTGTGCAGGAGGCAGCCAATCAATGATTCTCTCTCATCATTGATGTTTCTATCTCTCTCCCTCTCCCTTCCTCTCTGAAATCAATAAAAAAATATTTTTAAAAATACATGGGAACCGTAACCGGTTTGGATCAGTGGATAGAGCATCGACTTGCGGACTGAAGGGTCCCAGGTTCAATTCCAGTCAAGAGCATGTACCTTGGTTGCAGGCACATCCCCAGTGGGGAGTATGCAGGAGGCAGCTGATCAATGTTTCTCTCTCATTGATGTTTCTAATTCTCTATCCCTCTCCCTTCCTCTCTGTAAAAAATCAATAAAAAAATTAAAAAAATACATGGGGAATCCGGCTGACATGGCTCAGTGGTTGAGCATCAACTTATAAACCAATTGGTCATGATTCAGTTCCCAGTCAAGGCACATGCCCAGGTTGCTAGCTAGATCCCCAGTGTGGGGCGTTCAGGAGGCAGCTGATCAATGATTCTCTCTCATCATTGATGTTTCTATCTCTCTCTCCCTCTCTGAAGTTTATATATATATATCCTATATAATAAAAGGGTAATATGCAAATTGACCCTAACAGCAGAACCACTGGGAATGACTGGTCACTATGACACACACTGACCACCAGGGGGCAGATGCTTAATGCAGGAGCTATCCCCTGGTGGTCAGTGCGCTCCCACAGGGGGAGCTCTGTTCAGCCACAAGCCAGGCTGATGGCTGCCAGCACAGCGGTGGTGGCGGGAGCCTCTCCCGCCTCCTCAGCAGCATTAAGGATGTCCAACTGCAGCTTAGGCCTGCTCCCTGCTGGCAAATGGACATCCCCCGAGGGCTCCCAGGCTGCCAGAGGGATGTCTGACTGCCAGCTTAGGCCCGATCCCCCGGGGAGTGGGCCTAAGCCAGCAGGTGGACATCCCCCGAGGGGTCCCAGACTGCGAGAGGGCACAGGCCGGGCTGAGGGACTCCCCCCCCCGCCGCCCCGAGTGCACAAATTTTTGTGCACTGGGCCATATATATAATTTAAATTATTTAAATACATGGGGAAACTTTTGGGGGTAATTACTGCTCATTATCTTAATGGTGATGGTTTTAATGGGTATACACATGTCACAACTCCTTATATTGTACAGTTTTCATATGTACAGCTTATTGTGTGTCAATTATATCCCAATAAAGATATTTTTTAAAAGTAAGCAAGAGCCCTAGCCAATTTGTCTCAGTGGATAGAGCATTTGCCCTGGGACTGAAAGGTCTGGGTTCAATACCTCAGTTTCAGGCTCTATCCTCAGCCCCAGTGGGGGTGCATGTGGGAGGCAACCAATCAACATCTCTCTCTCACATCAATGTCACTCTTTCTCTCTCTCTCTCCCCCTCCCTTCCACTCTCTCAAAAAATCAATGGGAAAACATCCTCAGGTGAGGATTAACAAAAAATAAATAAATAAATAAATAAATGCAAGAAAACATTTTTACATATATATTTTATTGATTTCAGAGAGGAAGGGAGAGGGAGATAGAAACATCAATGCCGGGAGCTGTTCCATCCTTGCTGCTTGACATAGTTGCTGCAGGAAAGAAACATCTGCACAGCATATGTTCCAAGGGACCTAGTGTATATGGCATACTGTTTTTAATATGTTTGCTCCCCTTCTTAGCGTTATGTGTTCTTACCAGGGCCACCTCCCGGGAAAGGTTGTTTCCCCAGCTGGGAATGTTTCCCTAGAGTTAGGGATTAATAGGACTAAGTAAGGGAATAAATCAGTAAAATCCCCTAGTGTTACAGAAATACAGTGTACCACTTATAAGAAACTCAGACTAAGACTGTTAGCAATAAATTTAGGACTTGCTAGGCCCACATCCCCAGGGGTCTACCCACCAGAGAAAGTACCAAAGCCTATACCCCTAAAAACCCGTGACCACCAGTAAGGCTAAAAGGACAACTATCAAACAGTTAAAGAAATACCGCTGCAAACAATGCAGGCAGGCTCCTTATCTAAAAACCTTATGCGAGCTATGCAAGCAGAAAGACTTAAACTAAGTGCCAGGCAGGTTGTTAATCACCATAACTACGAACAATCACACTTAAGCTACATAACCTTTACTTAGGCCATAGAATAGGAAAACCTCCTTCAGTTTTTTCCTTATAGCTTAACAGTAGAGCAATAGAATAGTAACCTTAGAATAGAAATAACAAACTAGCCCTTATAATGAAACACAGAGACTAACCTTTAGAATAGAATGTAGAAACATAGACAATAGATAAGATTAAAATCAGCAGAGCTAAATAGAAATAAGATTTTTATGCCCTAACCGGTTTGGCTCAGTGGATAGAGCGTCGGCCTGCGGACTGAAGGGTCCCAAGTTCGATTCCGGTCAAGGGCATGTACCTTGGTTGCGGGCACATCCCCACTAGCGGGTGTGCAAGAGGCAGCTGATCGATGTTTCTCTCTCATCGATGTTCCTAACTCTCTATCCCTCTCCCTTCCTCTCTGTAAAAAATCAATAAAATATATTTTTTTTAAAAAAAGAAAGAAATAAGATTTTTAGCAAAGGTCAGGTAAGAAACTGTAAACATAAAACAAGAAACTGTAAAAGGTCAAAGGAGGACCCAAAACATACCATGACGTAACTGTAGACGCATGCTTATAGAATCAAATAGTATAAATACAGTTGTAACAGGGCAATAAAAAAGAACCTGACTATGCTGATCATCTGAACGCTGTCTCCGTGTCCTTCATTCTTCGCCGACACCGTCCACACCTTTGGGAACCCCTGGACCTCTGGGGCTGGACCCCAGCACATCAATGATGAAAATCATTGATCAGCTGCCTTTTGCATGCCTCCCTGCTAGGGATCGAGCCTGCAACCTTCGGATATGCCTGCAACTGGGAATTGAACCGGTGACCTCTTGGTTCAAGCCACACTGATGGGACAGCAAGAAAACATTTAGATCATGTAATTTGCCTGCCCCCAAACCACTGACTTCTCAACACATTTGATGCGAAAGCTGAAGTCCCCAGGCTGGCCTCTGAAGCCTCCTCCTCCTCTCTACCATCATCGTCCACCACTTACTTCCTCCTTTCTGTTCCCTCTTCCCAGTCTCTCAGCTCTTGGAGTACTCTTTTTTTTTTTTTTTAATCCTCACCTGAGGATATTTTTCCACTTTTTTTTTTTAAACT